TGATGTTTCTCTGATTTCTTTCTCATTGCATTTATCATCTGTATTATAGTAGGGCTACTGATTGTTTTTTGAGTTAATTTTCTATCCTGCTACTTTGCTGAAGGTGTCTATCAGCTGTAGGAGTTCCCTGGTAGAGTTTTTTGGGTCACTTATGTAGACTGTCATATCATCTGCAAATAGTGAAAGTTTGACTTCTTCCTTTCCAATTTGTATCCCCTTGATCTCCTTTTGTTGTCTTATTGCTCTAGCTAGAACTTCAAGTACAATATTGAAGAGATATGGAGAGAGTGGACAGCCTTGTCTTGTCCCTGATTTTAGAGGAATCGCTTTGAGTTTCTCTCCATTTAGTTTGATGTTGGCTGTTGGTTTGGTGTATATTGCTTTTATCATGTTAGGTATGTTCATGTTATTCCTGCTCCCTCCAAGATCTTTATCATGAAGGGATGTTGGATTTTGTCAAAAGCTTTTTCAGCATCTAGTGAGATGATCATGTGGTTTTTCTTTTTCAGTTTGTTTATATGGTGGATTACATTGATGGAGTTTCGTATGTTGAACCATCCTTGCATCCCTGGGATGAAGCCTACTTGATCTTGGTGGATGATTTTTCTGATGTGTTCTTGGATTCAATTTGCCAATATTTTGTTGAGTATTTTTGCATCGATGTTCATGAGGGATATTGGTCTGTAGTTCTCTCTTTTAGTTGTATCTTTGTGTGGCTTGGGTATAAAAGTAATTGTAGCCTCATAAAAAGAGTTTGGCAATGTTCCTTCTGCTTCTATTTTGTGGAACAATTTGAGGAGTACTGGTATTAGCTCTGGTTTGAATTTCTGGTAGAATTCTGCAGTGAAGCCATCTGGCCCTGGGCTTTTTTTGCTTGGGAGGCTTTTGATGAATGCTTCTATTTCAATAGGGGTTATGGGTCGATTTAAACTGCTTATCTGTTCTTGGTTTAACTTTGGTAAATGATATCTATTCAGAAAATTGTCCATTTCCTTTAGATTTTTGAATTTTGTGGAGTACAGGTTTTCAAAGTATGACCTGATGATTCTCTTGATTTCTTCTGTGTCTGTTGTTATACTTTGTTTCATTCTTTGTACTGTTTTCCTCGTTTCTACTTTATTGATTTCAGCCCTCAGTTTGATTATTTCCTGTCGTATACTCCTCTGTGGTGATTGTGCTTCTTTTTGTTCTAAAGCTTTCAGTTGTTCTATCAATTCTCTAGTGTGACTATTCTCTAGTTTCTTCATGTGTGCACTTAGTGCTATGAATTTCTTCTTAGCACTGCTTTCAGATTGTCCCATAAGTTTGGGTATGTTGTGTCTACATTCTCAATTTTTAGGAAGTCTTTAGTTTCTTTTTTTATTTCTTCCTTGACCCAGGAATGGTGCACTTGGATGTTATTCAGTTTCCCTGAGTTTGTAGGTTTTCTGCAATTTGTATTGCTGTTGAATTCTAACTTTACAGCGTGGTGGTCTGATAAGATACAGGGGGTTATTTCGATTTCTTTGTATCTGTGGAGGTTTGCTATGTTGCCAAGTATGTGGTCAATTTTAGGGAAGGTTCCTTGTGGCGCTGAGAAGAAGGTATATTCTTTTGTGTTTGGATGGAATGTTTTATAGATATCTATTAAAACCAGTTGGGTCAAAACTTCTGTCAGATCCTTTGTTTCTTTCTAGTGATCCTGTCTAGTGCTGAAAGCAGAGTGTTGAAGTCTCCTACTATAAGTGTGTGGAGTTTTATGTGTGCTTTGAGCTTTAGTAATGTTTCTTTTACAAATGTGGGTGCCTTCGTATTTGGGGCATAGATGCTCAGGATTGAGACTTCATCTTGATGGACTTTTCCTGTGATGAATATGAAATGCCCTTCTTCATCTCTTTTGATTTATTTTAGTTTGAAGTCTAATTTGTTAGATATTAGGATTGCTACACCAGCTTGTTTCTTGGGTGTATTTGATTGGAAAATCTTTTCCCAACCCTTTACTCTGAGGTAACGCCTGTCTTTGAAGTTGTGGTGTGTTTCTTGTATACAGCAGAAGGATGGATTTTGTCTTTGTACCCATTCTGTTAGCCTGTATCTTTTTATAGGCAGGTTAAGGTCATTGACATTGAGGGATATTAATGTCCATTGATTGTTGGTTTTTGTTTGTTTTGGATTTATTGTTGGTGGTGTCACTGTGTGTGGATTTTGCCCTCCTGTTTTATTTCATGTTTGGTAAAGTTGGTTTATCTATTGCCTATGTTTTTGTGAGTGTAGTTATCTTTGTTGAGTTGGAGTTTTCCTTCCAGAACTTTCTGTAGTGCTGGATTTGTGGATGTGTATTGTTTAAATCTGGTTTTGTCATGGAATATCTTGTTTTCTCCATCTATAGTGATTGAAAGTTTTGCTGGGTACAGTAGTCTGGGTTGACATCCGTGTTCCCTTAGTGTTTGTAGGATATCTATCCAGGACCTTCTGGCTTTCAAAGTTTCCTTTGAGAAGTCAGGTGTGATTATGATAGGTCTGCCTTTATATGTTACTTGACTTTTTTCCTTTGCTGCTCTTAATATTTTCTCTTTATTCTGTAAGTTTGGTGTTTTGATTATTATGTGGTGAGGGGACTTCTTTTTGTGGTCCAGTCTATTTGGTGTTCTGTAAGCTTCTTGTACTTTCATAGGCATATCCTTCTGTAGGTTGGGGAAGTTTTCTTCTATGATTTTGTTGTATATGTTTTCTGTACCTTTGAAGGTATTTCTTCACCTTCTTCTGTACCTATTATTCTTAGGTTCGGCTTTTTCACGGTGTCCCGTATTTCCTGGATATTTTGTGTTAGGGATTTGTTGGACTTGAGATTTTCTTTGGTCGATGACTGTATATCCTCTAACGAGTCTTCAACAACTGAAATTCTCTCTTCCATCTCTTGTATTCTATTGGTTATACTCACATCCTTAGTTCCTGATCATTTATTCAGCCTTTCTATTTCCAGCATCCCCTCATTCTGTGTTTTCTTTATTGTGTCTATTTCGGCTTTCATGCCTTGAACTGTTTCTAATGCTTCCTTCACTTATTTGGTTGTTTTTTCTTGGCTTTCTTTAGATTCTTTAAGAGAATTACTTATTTCTTGATTTTTTTTTTTTGGTTTGTTTTTTTTTCTTCTGTTTCTTTAAGTGATTTCTCTTTAAGGGTCTTGAACATCTTCATAAAGGAGATTTTTTAGATCTGTCTCTTCTTCCTCTGTGTTATAAGTTTTCAGATCTTGCTGGTGTGGAGTCCCTAGATTGCGGTGCTGTCATATTGGTCTTTCTGTTGTTGTGTTCTTGTTCTGTCTTCTTCCCATCTCTTCTTCCAGTGGTTGCAGGTGGGGTCTCTCTATCTCCTCTTGTCACCCGGTGGTGTGTGTGGGCCAAGATTTCAATGTCTGCAGCTCTGGATGGTCTTGACTCTCCTGGTAGTCTCAGCACTCAGGGGAGGTTGGGTCAGCGGAGGGGGAAGGAAGTGTGAGGTGTTTCCAGACTCAGGGAGGTCCTCCCTGCCTGGGTGTGTCCACTCTATGGCTGGCATGTGCAGGCCCAGAGAGATGGGGGTGGGGTAGGCTGTGTAGGTTTTTCTCTTGTTGGGATGGGTGAACAGGCAGGGCCAGTTGGGGAGACTCCTGACCTGGCTGCCAGGGGTGTGGGCGGGAGGCCTTCATCTATTAAAAGGCTAGGTGGCCTTGTGGTTGGAATTTTGCCAGAGGCTATAAATAGCTAGTATGAGAGTGTGAAGAAACGGAGCCAGGGAGGAGAGAGGAAGGAGGAGGCCCCTGGGTCTCCAGTTGGCAGTCTTCTGGGTGTGGTGTGGGAGGGGTGTGGATTCTCACATGGGATGCAAAGCTTTGTAGGCAGGCTCTGAGGCCTGGACTGCAGGGATCTCCACAGCCCTAGGAGACAGGTGCTATCTGTCACCTGTCCCCAGAGTAGCTAAGTGACTTACCCCAGGCACACAGCTGGGGAGCATCAGCAGAGTTTGGAGTCTGGCCACCTCAAATCTGCTCTGTAGGGGTCACTGTGAGCAGGTCTGGTCAGTCACTCAGGTGATGTCCAGAGCCTTTGGGTCCTGCCTAGATACTTGATGTGGACTCACTTTCCAGGAAGTGTCAGAGGGGCATTGTCACAATGGCCTGGAGAGAGGAGCTAGGCCAGCCACAGGCCCACCCTGTATTTATTGTTCCCTGTGACTCCCCACCCTGAACAAGGGACTCATGTCCTGAACGGAGGTGGATGCTCTGTCGAGTTGGAGGTTGAACCTAGGGCTTCACGAACCCCTGGGTTGCACCGGTAGCTGCGTCATATTGAAGCCACCCCTCCTTCCTTTCAGTCTTTCTGTAACCAGTGCACCCACAGTGCTCTGCCCATTGTGTGTCTATCCCATCTGTTCGGGGTCAGCTTTCCACTCTTGTGGGGGAAGCCAGGCATCTAAGAAGCAATGGCTGAGGAAACATACAAACCATCTTTGGCTTCTCAGCCAGGCATGGTGGTGTATGTCTTCAATCTCAGCAGAGGCAGGTGGCTCTCCAGGAGTTCAAGGCCAGCCTGGTCTATAGAGTGAGTTCCACAACAGTCAGAGCTGTTACACAGAGAAACCCTGTCTTGGAAAACCATACACACCAATAATTAAAATAATAATAATAATGAATAATAATAGTTTCTACTTTCTCATCCAAGTGTTTACGGTGCTGATGCTTTCACTTCCTCCTGGGGATTGTTGGGGGTTTTTACTCACTCCTGCTGTCATGGCTGCTGCTGTTCAGGGAGACTCCAGGTTGGAGAGGAGCAACCCTGTACTCCCTGGACTGGGTACTTCACTTAGCTCAACTGCCAGTTACTGCCACAAGTGGCCTAGAGCATGTGGGCAATAAAGGTGCCACCCAGGCTCCTGGCACTTGCAGGGCCTCTGTTTCTAGGCCTGCACTCTCCCCTCAGAGCCTTGCCAACAGGCTTGAATAAAGTCCTGCCCGGCGGGAGTGGGGGAGGGATGGGGGGGCTGCCAGCATAGTCTCTGTGAGTGAGGTCCTGGTTGGGAGAAGCCAGAGCACATATCCATTTGAGCCCTGTTCTGCATCCTGAGGTCTGTCTTCTGGGCCAGGCTGAGTCCTAGCCACCTGGCAGGCTGTCACCATAAGCATGGCCCTGGATGGCCAGAGCTGAGGCTGGGTTCTGCTATTCTGATTGGGTAACGTTTTGAACTTGTGGGTCCTGCCTGAAGTCTTGACATTGGCTGCTTGCCCAAGGCTGGGGCACCCTGGAAGAGCCTCCTACCACGGTGGGGAGATGTTGTGAGGTGACTCTGACCTGTTGTAGCTAGGGCTCCTCTGTGAGCAGCTAGTAAGGAGCCTCCTATTTGCATTGGGCCCTGGGAGATTAAACAGCCCTAGGGTCAGAACCACACTGCCCACCCCAGATCAGGTGCCGACTCCCTCATGTCCCACGGGTCTTTCAGGTGGGCTGTCAGAGGAAGCTGGGATGCTGGACAGTCGAGGTGCAGAGGGTCTGAGTGAATGCGATTTCCTTTAGGGTTTCTGTGTAGGGTTCTGGAGGTGAGGTAGTAAATGTCACCCCCTTGTCTGGAGGTCCTGTGAGGGTCCCAGACAGGGCCTTCTTTGGCACTCTTTCTTATCCTACATCCAAAGGTTCATGAGGTTATTGTGGGCAAAATGGTTGGGATTGTGGCTTGTTGGTAGGCTTTATCAGAGAGATGGATTGGGTGAATGAGATAAAGGAGTGTTTGGGGAATTATAAATCAGAGCATTCAGCCATCTGGATGGAATTTATGCGTAAGAGTGGATAGGGTATACCTGTGGGTGTGTTGGCCAAACCTAGCTGCAAAGTTGATCTGTGACTGCAGCTTAGCCCTTCCTGTCTGAGGAAAATGCCCCTTGGTGACCCCGGGAGAAGCTTAGATGTTCTGTAGCACCAGGCGATCACCGCACCGCAAGAACAAGGCAGGATGACCGGCTGGCTGGTGTGGGCAGGGGGTGGAGGAGAAAGCCTGGTCTTCCTAACAGGATGTGTGGGTAAGGGGTCCAGCGTTGAGGGCGGAGGGGTGGGTTGGTGTCTTCCCCAGGGGCCTTCAGCTCGGCCTCGTTTCCCAGTTACAAGTCACTGGCATGTGCTCAGCTTCTCTCTTGTCCGGGGCACAGGTTCTGGGCGTGGGGAGGCTGAGACTCGGGAGTGCATCTACTACAACGCCAACTGGGAGCTGGAGCGCACCAACCAGAGCGGCCTGGAGCGCTGCGAGGGGGAGCAGGACAAGCGGCTGCACTGCTACGCCTCCTGGCGCAACAGCTCGGGCACTATCGAGCTGGTGAAGAAGGGCTGCTGGCTGGATGACTTCAACTGCTACGACAGGTACCCTGGGGGCGCGGCGCGTTCCCACCCGTGCCGTCCTCGCCCACTGATCTGATCTCAGGATGCCTGAGCTGGGAAACGGCTTCTGAGGCAGTGCCCAGGGTCCCAAGCCGCATTGCTGCTGTTTGCTCTCCTGAGCTCAGGCTACATTTCTGTGCCTGGCTGTGCCTGCCTGTCTCTCCTAGACTTGGGTCGCTACAGCGGAAGTGGGTTCGCCCTAACTGCTGATGTTCCCTGGAGCTGCTCTGTCTGTGGGGAGGGGTCTGGACGAGCCTTGCTTTCCCTTCCCTGCTCCCAGTTTGTAACGTGGACTCTGGGCCTTCTTCAGGCAGGAGTGTGTGGCCACTGAGGAGAACCCCCAGGTGTACTTCTGCTGTTGTGAAGGCAACTTCTGCAACGAGCGCTTCACCCACTTGCCCGAGCCTGGGGGCCCAGAAGGTGAGGAGCCCGTGGGAAGAGGGGTCTAAGTGGGGAGTGGTTGCAGGGCCTCCGGGAGTGTTGGAGCAGGCGGGCTGTGTGACACAGGGCTCCATGTGTCCCCCAGACACCTACGAGCCACCCCCGACAGCCCCCACCCTGCTCACGGTGCTGGCCTACTCTCTGCTGCCCATTGGGGGCCTCTCCCTCATTGTCCTGCTGGCCTTCTGGATGTATCGACATCGCAAGCCTCCCTACGGCCATGTGGACATCCATGAGGTGAGAGGGTGCCGGCGTGGGGCAGGGCAGGGCAGGGCAGGGAGAAGGGATGGCCGGACAGACTCCTTTTAGCACTTGCTTCCCCAGGACCCTGGGCCTCCACCCCCATCCCCTCTGGTGGGCCTGAAGCCACTGCAGTTGCTGGAGATCAAGGCTCGGGGTCGCTTTGGCTGTGTTTGGAAGGCTCAGCTCATGAATGACTTTGTGGCTGTCAAGATCTTCCCGCTGCAGGTGAGCTTTTGGGGAGTGTCCAGGCCATCTTCTCTCACTGCGGTCCAAGTCAGTGTGACAGGGCAGTCTGAGCCCCTGATCTGTGTGGTGAGAGCAAGGCCATCCGTTTTTGAGCATTAGGTTCCTCAGGACATCAGTGCCAGGCTCAGCCAGACTTCGACCCATGTTGGTTTTGGGTTTTGCTGTTACTTTCATGTTGTGTATGTGGTCTGCATGTTTATACACACAACACAGGTCTGTGTGTGGAGGCCAGAATTTGACACTCAGTGTTTTCCTTTATTGCATTCCACCTGTTTTGGGGTTTCTTTTTGTTTGTTTGTTTGTTTTTTTTTTTTGAGACAGAGTTTCGTATGTAGTCCTGGCTGGCCTGGAACTCACAGATCTACCTGCCTCCACCTCCCAAGTGCTGAAATTAAAGGTGTACACTACCATGCCTGGCTCTCCACCTTTTACAATTTTTTAAAATGTATTTTTAATAAAAACATTTGTTTTTATGTGTATAGGTCTTTTGTCTGCGTGTGTCTGTGGGAAGAGGATGTTGAGTCCCTGAGGCTGGCGTTACAGACAGCTGTGAGCTGCCATGTGTGTGTTGGGAGCTGAACCTGGGTCCTTGGGGAGAGCAGCCAGTGCTCTTAACCTCAGTGCCACCTTTCCAGTCTCTTACTTTCTAATATATTTCGGGACAATCTCTCGCACTGAGCCCAGAGCTCACCGACTGAATGCAAGTCTCAGGAATCCTCCATCTCTGCCCCTTCTGCTTCTAGCACTGGGATCACAGGCTGACATTACACTAGACTTTTTATGGAGCTGCCGGGGATCCGAACTCAGGTCTTCTTGCTTGCCAGGCAGGCCCCTTACTTCCTGATTCATCTCCCCAGTCCCTGAGTTTGGTTTTTGACATTATGGTCTTAGATGCTTCGGATACCAGGCAACCGAAAGTAGTTATTGTCCAGGACACTTAGCAAATCAAGCGCTTGCTGGCTGATACCCGGCACCTCACTTGGCATTTGTGGCCCCATTTGTAAATCCGGGCGCTGGCGCCAGCCACCGCAGAGGTTTGCAGTTGGGCTGGGATGGCGATGGGTGTGTCGGGTGGCTGTGCTGCCGTGGGGCTCCGAGTGGCGGGACTGAGCTGCCTCCCTGCCTCAGGACAAGCAGTCGTGGCAGAGTGAACGGGAAATCTTCAGCACACCTGGCATGAAGCACGAGAACCTGTTGCAGTTCATTGCCGCCGAGAAGCGAGGCACCAACCTGGAGGTGGAGCTGTGGCTCATCACAGCCTTCCACGACAAGGTGAGCCACACCCACCACGCAGACCCCGAGGTGAGACGGATAGGTCTCAGTGGTGGTTTTGTGACTGCCTGTATCAGGTGCCCCTCTCACCCTAGGCCACTTCTTTGGCAAGAATTGCCACTCTGCGCACTTGGTACTTTTGCAGTGAGATGCAACTCCCGGGGCTGGGCGGGGTTGCATCTTTTCCTGCACTTGGAGCCTTCGCCCACAGTTTGTGCTGCCTTCTTTTCAGGGCTCCCTCACGGATTACCTCAAGGGGAACAGCGTCACGTGGAACGAGCTGTGTCATGTGGCAGAGACGATGTCACGAGGCCTCTCGTACCTGCATGAGGATGTGCCCTGGTGCCGCGGCGAGGGCCACAAGCCTTCTATTGCCCACAGGTACCTGGATTAGGGAGCCCTCCGTGCACAGGTGCCGGAGTTGCCGAGAGGGCTGGTGTTGGAAACGAGAGGTGCCTCCCGCTTGCTTCCTGAATGTGCCTGCGGTGGGTCAGAGCAAACCTGGCTGGCCTTCCTTTCATGGAGACTGCTAGCTTTCCAGGCCGGTGTTCTGGCGCCCTCTACTGGGCGCATGAGGAAGTGCTGGCTCGGTTACTTAGCGCTGGCTTTTCCAGTTCTCAGATCATTCTAGAGTATCCTTAAAAGGACTATTATTTGATCTACGTAGGTTATGTTTGCTGATGCTTTCTGGTGTACAGCATACGTGCGTTTGGTTATGTATCCTGACAATGACATTATGCTCCTGGGATTAGCATAAAAAGGCCAATGATAGATTATTACAAAAATGAATTGCCCTCACGGGACTCTTAGGGTTCTTAAAAATTGTCTTAGGATCTTTTAGGACTTCTGAGCCATCTCCCCCCTCCCAGCCCCCCCATGACAAGGTTTCTCTGTGTAGTCCTGGTCACCACTGCCTGGACATACTTTCTTATTTTTCTTATTTTTTTTTTTTTTTGACTTTTATTATGTAGCTCAGGCTGTCCCTGAACTCAGGACTCCTACAGCCTTCCAGACTCCAGGCTTATAGACATGAGCCCTCATGCCAGCCTTGAACCACACCGCTGTGTGCTGTTAAATGGCATGCACTGGGGCCAGCTGGGGTGGCGCTCACTTTTAATCCCAGCACTCGGGAGGCAGAAGCAGTTGGATCTCTGTGAGTTCAAGGCCAGCCTGGTCTGCATGGTGAATTCCAGGTCAACCAAAGCTACACAGTGAGACCCTTCTCACCCCCTTCCCCCTCAAAGAAGACACTCACTGAACCTTGTTCCAGTCTGGTGAGATGGAGCTATCTCTGTCAGCCCCACCTACAGGGGATGGAGCCATAGTACTGAGACTGCCGCGCTTAATAAAAGCCCCACGGCGACTTTAGTCTGACTCTGGGGGTGGGGCTTGAGGGTGGCTCCCTATTGACTGTTGACTTCAGAGCTGAAGGGCTCCAGCTGGTGTTGACTGCAGTGGCAGAGCAGGTTGGATGTGAGGCAAAGGTTGACTCTTGTATGTGGTGTAGTTCAGTTTAGCAGCAATGCCTAGTAAGTGCTGGGAAAGGTGGGCTGGGTCTGGATGCTGGGCCTCAGCTAGGCTCTTGTTCTCCACAGGGACTTCAAAAGCAAGAATGTACTGCTGAAGAGTGACCTCACTGCTGTGCTGGCAGACTTTGGCCTGGCTGTTCGGTTTGAGCCAGGGAAGCCTCCAGGGGACACCCATGGGCAGGTAAGGAGTCTGAGCAGCCGGAGTAGGGGCTGGCTCAGGGCTGATGCTCTGAGGCTTAGCTGGCGCCCCTTCGGAGCTATCTGGGAACTTAGAGAACCAGAGCTCTTGTCTCACCAGTCGGGAAACCAAGGCCTGTAGGTTGGTTTCCTACAATCCATGCTCCCCTTTTGGGCTTCAGTCATTCCTCCTTGTATTTCAGTCTTTCTACTGTAATTATTATTTTTCAAAAATACATTGTGTGCAGGTGTGTGTGTGTGTGTGTGTGTGTGTGTGTGTGTGTGTGTGGGTGCACATGCATGCATGTGTACACACATGCATGTTTTTTTAGGGGACAACTTTAGGAAGTCAGTTATTATTTTCCCAGCATGTGGGTTCCTTGGATTGAACTCCGGTTGTCAGGCTTGGCAACAAGGGTCTTTAACACTGAGACACCGCCTGCCCTCCGTTATAATTGCTAAGTGAGATCAAATAACAGGAGAGGTACTGAGAATCCAACTAAATGCAAACCATTCTGGGAGAGCCACTTGGTGTTTTTAAATGCGTTCTTGCCATTTTTGTTTCAACTGTTTTTTTTTTTTTTTTTTTTTTGGTTTTTCGAGACAGGGTTTCTCTGTGCAGCTTTGGAGCCTGTCCTGGCACTCGCTCTGGGGACCAGGCTGTCCTCGAACTCACAGAGATCCACCTACCTCTGCCTTCTGAGTGCTGGGATTAAAGGCGTGCGCCACCAACGCCCGGCCTTGCTTCAGCTTTTTAAATTCTGCTTTATTTACTTGTTTATTTAGTGTGTGTATTCCCGTTTCCAGGTGGAAGTCTGAGGTAGTCACGGGCATCTTCTTTGGTCGCCCACCACCTTGTATATTAAGGCTGGGTCTTTCGCTTGAACCTAGATCCATAGTTAGTCCAGCCAGCTTGCTCTGAGGACCCCGCCTGTCTGCTGGGTGCTGGTGTTGCAGGCAGGCTGCATTTATGTGGGTTCTAGATATCCAAACTTCCATTTTCATGCTTGAGTGACAAGTGCCCTAAAGGCTAAGCCATCTCCCCATCCCCCTTGTTTACTAGAGGGTCTCTGAGTAGTCCAGGCTGGTCTGGGACTCTCAGTTCTTTTTGCTCATTTTCTGAGTGCGTGGCTTTGCTTCAGTTATTAAACTCAGTAGAGGGGGTTAAGAACACTGGCTGCTCTTCCAGAGGGGTTCCGAGTTCAATTCCCAGGAATCCCACATGGTGGTTTCACAACCAGCTGTGATGAGATCTGGTGCCCTCTTCTGGTGTGCAGGGAATACATGCAGGCAGAACACTGTACATAATAAATAAAATAAATCTTAAAAAACAAATAAAAATGAACTCATTAGAGTACAAAGCCTCGGAGTAGCTTGTTGGTGTAGCTTTTTCATCAGCTCTGTCTGCAGTTATTATCAGATATAATCTTAACTCTGGAGCAGGGCTTTGCCTTGAAGGCTTTGTGCTTTGAATGTCTCTGTCTTAACCAGTCTCGTGCACAGGCTACGGTTCTCTACACATTACAGCCGAGTGTGTGTTTGAGTGTAGCTGGTCTCTGGAGACCCTGGCCTCCTCTGTCTTCATGCAGGTTGGCACGAGACGGTACATGGCCCCCGAGGTGCTGGAGGGTGCCATCAACTTCCAGAGAGACGCCTTCCTGCGAATCGACATGTACGCCATGGGGCTGGTGCTGTGGGAGCTTGTTTCTCGTTGCAGGGCTGCAGATGGTGAGTGGGCTGGCAGCCCCGGGCATCCTGGGTTGGGGGCCTGAGCCGGTGATCTCACCAGCTCCCTGTCACCTCTCAGGGCCAGTGGATGAGTACATGCTGCCCTTTGAGGAGGAGATTGGCCAACACCCGTCCCTGGAGGACCTGCAAGAGGTGGTTGTCCACAAGAAGATGAGGCCTACCATTAAGGATCATTGGCTGAAACATCCGGTGAGGGAGCTGGGTTCAGAGGACTACGGGTGTGTGAAGGGGACTGCCTGACAGAGCAGGGCCCCAGGAGCGAGGGTAGGCAGCCATGCTCCCTGCACCCTACGGAGGGATCTCTGAGGTTGTGGGGAATAAGGTAGGCCCTGATCTCCTTCCCACCCTCACTGTTGCTCAGATACTAAATGTTGGGCCTTTGTGTTTGTGCTTTGTGTACAATTTGATTTGAGATCCAGTGCTCCAAGGCTAGCAGCTGTTTGTGTGTGTGTGTGTGTGTGTGTGTGTGTGTAGTAAAGGGAGGGGGAGAGGGTTCCCCTTCTTCCTGTTGAAGTTTAGCAAATATTTCCCTGGAGCTGTAAGGGCAGTCCAGACTCAGTGGGGTGACTGACAGGAGAGCAGGGTTCTGAGGGCCTGCAGCCTTCTAATTGACCTGCAATGGGTGTGGTTGGGACATAGGCTCCGCCCATTCCCTGGACGCATCATCACTTGCTGCCCTCACTGTGCAGCCCTAACAAGGGTTCTTCCCTCCCTCCCACTCCTCTGCAGGGCCTGGCCCAGCTCTGTGTGACCATTGAGGAGTGCTGGGACCAAGATGCAGAGGCTCCCCTCTCTGCAGGCTGCGTGGAGGAGCGGGTGTCCCTCATCAGGAGGTCGGTCAACGGCACTACCTCGGACTGTCTAGTCTCTCTGGTGACATCTGTCACCAATGTGGACCTGCCCCCTAAAGAGTCCAGCATCTAAGCCTAGGATATGAGTGTCTCTCCAGACTCAGTGGATCTGAAGAAAAAAAAAAGGAAAAAAGTTGTGTTTTGTTTTGGAAATACCATAAAACCAACAAACACATAAAATGCAGCTGCTATTTTACCTTGACTTTTATTATTATTATAATTATTATTAATAATATTATTTTTGGATTGGATCAGTTTTTACCAGCATATTGTTCTACTGTATCGCAAACAGCGGACGTGTCAGCAGGCGTTGAGGTGCTGAGCTGTGAGTGCAGAACCAGCGCCATGCTGAAGAGCCTCAGCCACTCCTGTCCTTCGGGATGGATTTTCCCCAGCGTTCTCTTTGTTGTCTCAGAATCTGTAACACAAAGAAACCCATCTCCTGTCTTAGGAAACTCAATGCTGCAATCTCTACTAGAGGAACCCTTGAAGACTGTTACATGGACACACACCCTTCCTCAGAAGAGCCCCCCCCCCTTTATTTTGTGTCTCCCTTTTCAGGCAGTGAGCTTAAGAAATGGCAGATGTGTCTTCATGGATCTAATGGGTGTCATCCTGACCCAGCAGAGGGAAAGCGAGATGAGGAGGGTGGTTTGGAAGGGAGGGTGGTTCTGGGTGGGTTCGGAGCAGAGCTACACTGGACTTGGGCACATATGGAGCAACACCCTTGGCTATGGAGGCTGTTTTCTCAGGTAACAAGGGGTGGAGTACAAGGACCTTATGGGGGCTGAGCAGCAAGCACAGGGTCTGGAGAAAGTTCAAGGGCAGGGCCAGGCTGCCCCACCTGCCCAGGCTCCTCCCACTACCTTGGGCTTGGCTGTGGGTTGGAGGAAACACTGCCTCGCTTGTGCGTATATTGGGACTAGGTGAGGGCGTGGCAGTTTAGCAGACATTCTTCATTAGACACGATGCTGTAGGTCTCTTTTATGGAGGAAATACCAAACTGCAGTTTCCTCTTGGCAGTTTGGGGAAATGCCCATGGTGCCCCCTGCACGGTGTGGGTAGCCCAGAGGATCCCTGGGTGGGGAGCTTGCCTGCCTGCAATACCATAAAACCAACAAACACATAAAATGCAGCTGCTATTTTACCTTGACTTTTATTATTATTATAATTATTATTAATAATATTATTTTTGGATTGGATCAGTTTTTACCAGCATATTGTTCTACTGTATCGCAAACAGCGGACGTGTCAGCAGGCGTTGAGGTGCTGAGCTGTGAGTGCAGAACCAGCGCCATGCTGAAGAGCCTCAGCCACTCCTGTCCTTCGGGATGGATTTTCCCCAGCGTTCTCTTTGTTGTCTCAGAATCTGTAACACAAAGAAACCCATCTCCTGTCTTAGGAAACTCAATGCTGCAATCTCTACTAGAGGAACCCTTGAAGACTGTTACATGGACACACACCCTTCCTCAGAAGAGCCCCCCCCCCTTTATTTTGTGTCTCCCTTTTCAGGCAGTGAGCTTAAGAAATGGCAGATGTGTCTTCATGGATCTAATGGGTGTCATCCTGACCCAGCAGAGGGAAAGCGAGATGAGGAGGGTGGTTTGGAAGGGAGGGTGGTTCTGGGTGGGTTCGGAGCAGAGCTACACTGGACTTGGGCACATATGGAGCAACACCCTTGGCTATGGAGGCTGTTTTCTCAGGTAACAAGGGGTGGAGTACAAGGACCTTATGGGGGCTGAGCAGCAAGCACAGGGTCTGGAGAAAGTTCAAGGGCAGGGCCAGGCTGCCCCACCTGCCCAGGCTCCTCCCACTACCTTGGGCTTGGCTGTGGGTTGGAGGAAACACTGCCTCGCTTGTGCGTATATTGGGACTAGGTGAGGGCGTGGCAGTTTAGCAGACATTCTTCATTAGACACGATGCTGTAGGTCTCTTTTATGGAGGAAATACCAAACTGCAGTTTCCTCTTGGCAGTTTGGGGAAATGCCCATGGTGCCCCCTGCACGGTGTGGGTAGCCCAGAGGATCCCTGGGTGGGGACCTTGCCGGCCTGCAGCTCTGGCTTGGCTCTACGCAGCGGCATCACTGGCTCCTTTCTGAGGCTCGTGAACACGGCTTTCTCCAGACCCTTTAAAGTGGTGCATATTCTAAAGCTGTTTTTCTATTACGCCATAACCTTGCTCCAGGCCGTGAATGTTCCTAATGCTGCTGTCTCGACATTGGATTTTTTTTTTTTATTTATGAAACATGCTAAAAAATTTTTTTTTCAGACAGAACACACACATCCACATATGCACACATACTTTGCTGTGTGGCTTCCGAGGTTGAAATTTTAAAAAGTAAAAGAAGTAACTTCACGACCACAGACCACCTCAAACCAGAAATACCTCAGAATTTTCTACTTGTGTACGTTTTATTAATTATATATTTTGTTAGTCGTGTTGTCTTGTAGGAAGTATATTTTAATGTAAGTTGGCTTTTATGACAAGGAAGTTTAAAAGAAATAGAGAAAAAGAAAAAAAGTCTGTGTCTTCTAGTCAGCACTGCCTTTTTATTTGTGAATATTGTCATCAGCTCTAGGTGGCCATCTGAGCGGAGTCTGGGCGTTCGTCACTCTGGTTTAGACCATATTATGCAACCAGCACATCTTTATCTTGAGGGCAGGCCACTGCCTCCTGGGTTGTCGAGAGGCCCAGGTGTTGTTCCAGAAGTCCCCTGGGTAGTTTTCAGGATGACACCCCTCCTTTACCGTGGCAGACCCAAAGCCCTCAGGCCCACTGCAGCTGGCACTTGAGGGTTAATTCCCTTGGCAGCAGGTGGGCTCTGCAGTGCCTGTAACTGTGCTGTGAAGTCTGGGAGAGCATAGCTCACAGCTGGGCAGCCGCTCCCCTCAGCGTGTTGTGTGGTGCCTGGGGGTGGGGTGGGGACGGTCGCAGCCCTGGGCTTGTTCTTTTCTGTGGGTGTTTGTGCACAGGCCAGCTGGCTTCCCTCTCAGACCTTGGTCTTTGTTTCCATGGATCACTGTGGGCTGGCCGGGTAGTTAGGGGGACATGTACTCTGTTTCCGTAAGCTATGTGTGTCCCTTCCTCCCCTCCCCCATTTGATTTTGTGCTATGTGGTATTTTCTCCTCTCAGAATACTGTTTTTTTTTTTTTTTTTTTTTCCTAGCAAAACAAGTCTTACAGCAGTTGCTTTTCTTTTCCGCTTATTTCTTTGAGAAGCTTTAAATATTTATTGAAAAGTGCCATATCTGCTTTCTTTAGCTTTCTCCTCAGGCAGTGGGACCCTCTCTCCTCTTGACCCTTAACAAACAAACCACTAAGAAATGCAGCTATTTTGCTGCACGAGTGACCCAGACCCAGCCACACGCTGTGCCAAACACTAAACCCAGCTTCCTTGTGTGTGATCTCGTGACCCTGGGTGGTTTTTCTCTCGTGTGCTGGCTTGGTTGTCACAAGCATCCTGACCTCTGGTGTGGGACATCCCAGTCGTGATACTTTGCAGGCCTGACACCTTTTCTGGGGGCTGTCTTCCCTTGCTGCTGACCCTGTGTCCAGCCACAGCAGTGTCCTTGTCAATCCTCTGTGTCATTATAATGGAGTGTCTGAGTGTCCTGGAAAAGGGAGGGTCTGGGCTGGAGACTGCTTCGAGGCTTCAGGTAACATACCCAGTTGCTCATGGCTGGAAGCTAGGTGATTCTCCAGGGTGTGGCCTGGAAGTTTGGGTGGCCCCTGTTTTTCTTTCTTCTCGTGTTCAGTTGGGTTGTGGGGCCTCTGCCTTGCACTGTCCCACAGATTTCACGTCACTTTCCCTGGATTCCCATCTCCCCTAAGCTTTTTGGAAGCCTGAGGAAGCCCCTGTGTGTGGAAAGTGCTGAGAATAGTCAGGGGAGAGAAATAGCTAGAGACGTCATTCTTCCTTCACTGCATGTAGTGGTCCAGACAGGCTCCATCTATTGCCAGAGATCTCTGTGACTATGTCAGAGAAGGACAAAGCAGGTGAAGAAGACCCTCATTGATGGAATGTCAAGGAAGGCTGTGAGTAGTCTTTAGCACCTGGGCTAACATGGGCTGGCCTGGTATCAGGGCACCAGATGCAAGGGAAAGTGTTGGGCCTTCTGCTCACAAGCCACAGCAAAGGGAAGCTCTGTCTCTCATCGCTAGGCTACCAGACTTGCTGGGTGAGGGCTGGGCCAGCCTTGCTGACAAGGCTTGAGCTTCTAGCATATTGTATAACCCTTCCACACTGCTCTCTCCTCCCTTCCTCCCTGGAGGTGATCACACCTTTGGCCCTGTCTTGTTAGCTCTAGGGCTTAGACTTTATGAACAGTTTTTCTTGGTGACCAGCCTAAATATATTGAATGTTTCCCACGCACCTTTTGTCTCAGAAGGCCTGTGATGTGGCGGTTCCTATTCTTAGGCACTTAGGCAAAGACGTGACTGTCCATCCAGAGCTAGAGGACTGGATGGCTCTCTCACTCACACATGGAAGTCTATCTTTTAGTGTGTGAAGTTCCTGGTGTATACTGCTGGATGGGAGTGTGTCCCGTTTGTTGTTCCTAAATAATTAATACAGCAAAAGTCCACTGTACTGTAAGTTGAGTCCCTGTCATTCTTCTCAAGAACTTGCTTTGTTAGCTGCATCCCTGAATCAGAGAGCAGTTCCTAGTTCATTCAGCTTGATCTTCAGCATTGGCTATTTCATCCTTTTGGGCCTTTGGGTAGCACAGGTTTGGAGAGATGATCGGGTCTGGTCTGCGAAAAATAAATTAAGTTTAAAACACTTCCTTGGGAATTAATGAGTTGATTCCACCATATTTTTAAAAATGAGTTCAAAAGGCCCATAGACTATCAATAAGTCTTTGGTGGGCTACTGGGACATTGTTATTTGGACCTATTTGTGATTATTCTAAATTACTGTTGGGCTGACAATTTGAATTGATATCAGGAGCATCTACATCTTTTTTTTTTTTTTTAATTTTTCTTGCTGGCATCTTCCAGGTGTGAAGGAAGGCAGACTTTGCACTTGAGGTGCTATGCCCATCTCCTTAGCGCCCAAGCCAGCGCTGCTTGCCCCATCCGTGGCAACACCTGGTGATGATTCCTTTAGAGAATCAAAATGCATCTTTCCTAGATGCCAATGTGGGGCGATGGGATCTGCACAGCCTCTTGTTCTCCAGGCCAGTGTCCATAGACTGTCTGCGCTGAGGTAGTGCAGGCAGTTAGTGTCTGGCTGCAGGTGGAGACCATCTGAGCGGGCAATCCGGACACCTGCAGATGAGAGACGCTACATTCATCTGTAGACTTTGTGTTTGAGTTTACAGTTAGGAGAAATGGGACACCATTAGTCTTTTTGGGCAAGCAAAGGTGGGGTTTTTTTTGTGAATGAACAAACCCTGCCCCTAGTCTTGGAGCACCCATCCTTGTTGCACGGGCGGGTCCATTCCCTAACCCTTGACCATTTTGCATCAGTGTTGTTGGATAGATAGTGTTGCAAACAAGAGCAGTTGTACAGCAGACACCACTTGCAGTTTTACTTGGCGGTCTGTAGCTGCACACCGATACTTAGTTTTGTCAGTTGACAGATGCCTCTACATGGTG